GCATCCCGCACAGCCGCATCCGTATCAGGATCATCCTCCTCGATGGTGACTGGGCCTCCTCCCTTCCTCAACACAACAACCCTCGCACTAGCCTCTGCAATGGTCTGCTCACGGCGGGAACCACGAGGCATCCCCAACCCCTCCGCCCCCGAACTCTCTCCAAGTGTTGCGCCTCCCTCTGCAGGCACGGGGCGTGGACGAGGTGGTACTCCACGCTTGCGTGGAGTCTGCTTCTGCACGGCACGCGTCGCTGCTCTCAGAGCGTACTCCAAGGTATCGGTCGACACTCCTCTGCCACGACCTCGCTAAGGCTCACAACCGGATGCCGGTACCTCCCTCGTCGTGGTCGTCCTTGCGCCTCCTCCTCCCAAGCCCGGCTGAAGGCGTGCAATGTGCTCCGTGACACGGCGGGTGGAATCCAAATGTATATCTGTCCTCCCGAATATCGTTGTGTCACACATGTCCTGCTCAACTGTTGTCGTGTCACGAATCCTAGATCTCCCAGGCGTGTGTGGGGATCGAGAGCCTCTGCCTGTGGGTGACGATGATGGATCACCTGCAGGTGCTCTGGGAGGAGGGGGTGGCATATCTTATGTGCGTGGCGTTGTCTCCGTCACGCCACCGGAAACCCCTGGAACATGTCCCGCGGTATGTCCTCCAGTGGAGGTAGACCCTGACCACACGGGCGACCCAGGACCCCATGGAATCGAAGGGATCGACTGCCACGGTGGGTGCTTGAGCTTCCAGTCGAAGATCCACCGGTCCAAGCGAGTAACATCGCGCACAGCCTCTCTCGCCAACTCCTCTTCATCCAAAGGACGACGGACCTCCTGCGGAGCAAAGTGGCTAGGAAGACGTGGGGGCACAACCACCGGCTCGGACCCCAAATCGTTGATAACGGGCAGTGGCACACCATGCACTGCCATCTGAACCGCCTGCAGCTGTCGGGCCTGAGCCAAGTGCAGGCCCGAGAACGGAACGACTGGACCCGTCGCTGTCTCCTGCCCCTCGCGCCGTGAGTCTATAGCCCCCTCGACTCGTCGCTGTCCTGCCTGCACTGCCCCATCCACCGCCTGAGTCCGTCCCTCCACAGCAACGTCCGCTGTCTCTGCTCCACCCGACATAGCCTCGGGTACCGGCTTGCTGCCACTCCCTCCGCAACGTCCTCCCCCGCCACCACCCCACCCTGCACACAATCCCCCCCTATCTCTATACGCCTAACGTCCTCTATGGCCCGTGCGAACGCCTGAGCACGAGGGTCAGTCGATGCCAAAAGTCTAGCCCTCTCTCGCTCCATGATGTCGTGTGCTGCATCTGGAGACTGAGTCGTCGTCCTCTCTCTGGCGGTCTGCGTCGAAGTCCTGCCTGGCGCCTCGTCCCTTGATGGAGCCCGATCCGTCGATGTCGCCCCGCCGCAACTGGATGGAAGGCCCACCGACAAATCCAAGTCTAAGTGTGTCTCCATCTCCGAATCTGAAATCCGAAACCCCCTCTCCACACCCGGGGTCATACCTGCTATGGCAGGACTGAGCTCCTCCGTGAGGAACTGCGGCATGAGGCGCTCGTCATCGCCCCCACGCTGCACCTCGGCCTGTGCGGCTATCTCCTCCTCCACTGCAGCTGCCAACGGTGCGTCCTCCTCCTCCAGTGCAGCTGCCACCTCAACCTCCACTGCTGCTGCTCCTCCACCTGCTCCTCCTGCTGCTGCCACCTGCCCCTCCACTGTTGCACCTCCTCCTGCCAATGGTGGATCCTCCGCCAGCACTGATGCTGCCATCTCCTCTAGCACTGATGTTGCTGCTGCTGCTGCTATCTCCTCCACCGCGGCCGCGATCGTCGCGTCCGACACAGCCGCTGGTGCCATCGAACTCTCCACTGCTGCTGCCGAAGGTCCCCCCTCCTCCTGCCTTATCCCCAGGGAAGGTGATCGTAACCTAAGCTAGCGGACTGCCCCGCCTCTGTGGAGAAGGCCTCGCTGAGGCAAAGAGGACCCCAACTCCTCCCTGTCCGGCTGAAGTGGCGAGACGGGCGATCGTGGTGTAGGACTCGGAGCAGGAGGTGGCGGCATGGACGACTCCCGCCTCGTCGGAGTGGGGGTCGTCGCCTGCGCCTCTGGGCCGCCCGTGGAAGTGACCTCACCGAATGGGCCCCAAAAGTCCTCGTCTCCCCCCAGCATCTCGCTCTCCGCCCAGTCCACTGCCCGTCGTGCAGTCTGTGTCCTCGTGTCCTCGGAGTCGGGATCCTCGTATGTCTCGTCGATCTCCTGGGGAATGCGAAGCGCAGGGTCATCTGCCGCCTCGGGTATCGGCTCCTCGTCTGAGTCGTCGTCCCTGGGGTAGGGACGAAAAATGCAAGTACGTCTATCGAAAACGGCATCAGCCGAGGGTGGTGCGGACGCCCCGATGGGATCCCGGGTAATAAGTGCAACCTGACGAACAATCTCCTCGTCCGTCATCCGCCTGCGAGTTCCCGTGCGCACAGGCTCCAACTCGAGTCCTGCCTGGCAATCCAACATGCCCTCGTCCCGCTGCCATGGCAGCACATAACCGCATCCAGCCCGCCGATACTCAGTCAACCGCACATTTGCGGTGATCTCAACGAGTTGCACGACCTTCTCGAAGGCCAACTGGTTGCGCTTCTTTGTGTGAATGCCCTCGTGGACAGCCCAGTTCCTCTCCGCTGGAGAAGCGCAATACCACATGTGCATCACCCGAAGAGCACAACGCTGCAACTGTGGCGCGCCCGACCCAAACTGAGACCACCAAGATGCGCACTCAATCGTCTCGCTGTCGCCGCTGCACGCGCGCCCACGAGCACGCCCCTCCGGACCGCCCCAATCCCCGAACCTGCCCTGCTGAATGTGGAAGTCCTCAAACTGCCGACATGCAAGGATGTACTCCGCACCCTCCAGCTCGAATCCCGTCTACGTCAAAATGTACCTCTTGGCTTGCCCCACAAGCCAAGCATCGTACCTCTCCACCTGCCCCGAAAAGTAGCGAACGTGTCGCCTGCGGGGGTTCAGTAAGAACCCTGCGCGGGTTCAGTAAGAACCCTGCGCGGTGAGCCGGCTCAAGCATGTGCTGTATGCGAGCCTGCACACGCCTCATGATCCGGTCGGCGAACGACGTCCCCAAAGGGTCGCATGCAACCGTGACACAGCGGACAAGATCCTGCGTCCACTCGATCATGAGGGACATGTACTGTCCTCCACGATCCATCCTCCTGAGCAACTCCATGACGGGCTGCATGATATGGACGATGGTGGCCACCCTCTGCCACCATGGATCCCATCTGATCTGTCGGCGCACCCACCGCGCCATGACGCACACATCGGCGGACCACAGGATGGAAGCAAAAGCCCACGCGTCGTCCTTTCGCATCATGTCGTGCAAAGTGTCCTGCAGGGCCAACAACCTCTCCAGCATGGAGTAAACAGACGCGAACCGCGTCTCGCAAGAAAGAATAAGCCCCTTCTCGGGGCTGCGCGTCCTAAAAAAATGAAGGGCGGCCTGGTGGGTTTTGAAAAACACCACCAGCACACGAGCGCGTGTGATCACGTCCACAAACTCGTCGCATCTCGTCCCCATGTCTGACAACAATTTGTTGCAGACATGGACGGAGCACGGGAGCCAAGTGATCCTCCTCAGTGCAGGGGGCATGGACGGCGAGGTCAATGCCCTCGCAGCCCCCACATAGGCAGAAGCGGAGTCAGTGCATATCACATTGATCCGCTGCGGCCCGCCAAAGCTGAACTCGTGGAAGATGGTAACCCGTCTATGAAGGACGTGCACTTCATCGTCCGGCTCGCCCTCTCGATTGATCGTCGTGTACACGACGACCCGTCAAGAGCCAACAGCAAGGAAATTCACGATCGGTTTTCCGTCTCGTCATTTTCTCCCATCGGAGAGGAGGGTGGCACCAGTCACCCAGAATGGCTGCCTCACCTCCTCCAACTCCTCCGCCAACTCCGCACGGTGGGTCTCCACCGCCCGCATACTCGCAATCTCGCAGTGGTTGGGGAGCACTGCGCGCGGGGAAGTGCCAGGCTGCGGTCAGGGGGAGTCAGCGAGGGTTGTCTCGCCAGGGTGATCGACATGGCGAGGTCACAGCGCCGTCAGCATGATCCTGCCGTAGGGTCCCCCTTCCCCCCCCCCCCCCCCCCCCCCCCCCCCCCCCCCCCCCCCTCCCCCGCTAGCGCGAACCCGTGCGGGGCCTGCCGAACCACCACAAACGCACCGCGGGCCCGTGCGTCGAACTGCGTTTAACGCCGTTCAAACGCGTTGAAACGCGTTGAAAAGCGTTTAACGCCGTTGAATTAAAAATTCAACGGCGTCGTTCGGGAATGCGAGTGGCGGTTCGCAGCCATCGCTGCACACTTCGCTGCTCCGCCTACGTCGAGTCGACGCCGCCGCTCCACTGCACTCCACGCTCCTCTGCGCTCCACACTCCGCTGCAACTCTCTCTCTCTCTCTCTCTCTCTCTCTCTCTCTCTCTCTCTCTCTCGCGCGCGCGCGCGCGCGCGCGCACG